GTTCAACACTGGTTCAGACAATGATTATCATCATCATCATCATACACGTTAGCTAGAGGTAGGGAACACCTCAGCTACTGTGCCGCAATACACAGAAAAAAGGAGAAAAAATGCAGCTGGTGCAAGCTGGCTGAGCTACCGGTAACGGATGGGCATCGTTCCGGTAAGCTGTGCACCAAAAAAATTACTATGCAAAATTATATAAGGCTAAATAATGAGATCGTGGTTAAAGGGGGAAGCTAAGAGGGATGGGTTGGGACAAAGAAACTCACAGCACGAACGCCACTGAGGTCGGCTCCCAGCCATGTCAGCAAGTGTGTCCAACCAAACGTGTTCATCGTCTTTCGGACCCCAACCAGGGAGCCGAGACGCTCCAACTGAGGCCAGCTCAGAAGTGGAGGCCTTCATTCCTCTGGACCAAGTCATCGCTTGGCCACCCCTCCTCTTCTTCCATCCACACCCCCGGCGCGCAAACAACACACGTCGCGGGAGACGGTGGGCTGGCATGCGTAACACGTGGCCGAGCCATCGGAGCCTGATGCGTGAAATAACGGTGCTGAGCGGTTCAGTCCCTTTTCCTGTGCTATAAACAAGGCGTCGAACACGCTCGTTGCTCACGCGGTGTTCCCACCAGATGTGAGCTAAATAACGAAGGCACCGGTGGACGAACGTAACTAGCCTCTTCAGGTTCGCTGCTTTAAGCGGCCAGGTTTCACAACCGTACAGTAGGGTCGAACGTACTGCTGCATTGTACACTCTACCCTTCAAGGCAAGAGTGATGTCGCGCCGGCGCCACAAGTGGAGAAGGTTAGCAAAAGCGCCCCGAGCTTTTGCTATACGATTCGTGATTGCATCTTCAATCCCACAGGCGCTGATACAACTTCCCAAGTAATTGAATTTTTGAACGACTTCTAGCTGATCCCCACCAAGGATCAGCGTAGGAGGCGGTCCAGACCAATCTTGGAGGAACGCTTTGCACTTCGAGGGTGCGAAGCGAAGCCCGAAGTGACGGACAGCTAGTGCTAATCTGTCCAATGAAGACGAATTCAGACTGCCAACTGTCGTGTCCAAGGTAAAGAAGGGTCAACGGACTTTGTGCGAAAAAGTGTCTCCAAACTTCTCACAGATATCCTGCTTCGATTTCTTACTGATCCTCGTGGAAGCCAAATCACTTTCGTCCAAATGCAAGGTTGCATCGGCCACTTACTTAATTGTTAAAGCAGATACATTAAGGACGACCGACTGATGGTTGTTCTTGACTTGAAAGCCATCGACTCTGTGGAACAAACTTTTCATAAAGAGTATGCATGGAAAGCCCCTTTCTATTCTGAAGTCTTTACCGCGACGCCACAGGCTAGGTGAGTGTCTACGGAAAGCGCAAGTACGATTCGCCAGATTCACTTTCACTTTCAAGTTCGTGATCAAAATGTTCATAAATGACTTTGTTCCTTTAGGATCTTCCGGAGTTGAGGTAATGCGAGGTGACCGATTAAAAAACATTGACTATGCGGACGACATACAAGGGTAGATCAAAAAGTTCTCGGGCAGATCAAAAGTAAATGAATTAAGATAATTTATGTAGTATTAGTGCCAAGTCTCAAGTTTCTATCTTTACTTGCTTGCAGGTGATAATTCGTGGGACTGACCTTGGTCGCTTAACTTCTAAAAATGGAGAAACCTGAAAATGAAGCTGTGAACAAGTACCTAAAGGAAAAGAGCATGGCGCCAAAAGAAATCCATGCTGATATGGTTGAGACATTTGGTGAGGACTCCCCTTCTTATTCCACTGTTGGGAAGTGGGCTGCGAATATAAAGACGGTCAGGGACAGCAATGAAGATGAGCTGCAGCCTGGACGCCCAAAATCATCGACGTGTGAAGATCAAGTGGAAGCAATTCACAGAATGATATTGAAGGACAGAAAGTTATATATTTCGCAAACAGCTAAGACTATGGGCATCATTTATGGCTTATTACACGCTGCTTTTATTAACACCTTGGGGATGAAAAACCTGACTGCAAGCTGGGTGCTAAGGATGTTGAGACCATGTCAGAAATAGAACAGGCTAGAAAATTCGAAGCAACTTTTGACCCATTTCAAAGCAAAGCCCATAAATGTTTCAGAAAATTTGTTACACAAGATGGTTTGGGTTTATTACTTTGAACCAGTGGAAGCACTGTGGTTCGCCGCTCCCAAAAAAGTTCCGTCAGATGACGTCAGCAAGAAAGGTGATGGCTTGTTTTCTGGGACAGTGAAGGTGTATCTCACCCTCTGACGAAACCATGGACTTTGATGTGTTGTGCTGTTTTCTTTTACTATTTATGTGCCTTGTTCTGAGTTCCATGGTTTCCGATGACTCAATGTCTATTCACAGACTGTTGCAAAATATATAAATATATAATCATGACTGACTTCTTGCTGACGGGTCAGACCATCACAGGCTAGTATTACGCCAACTAAAACAATTACCCAAGGAGAAAAGGAGGGGGAAGCTCTCAGCAGGGGTTTTTCTTTTGCAGGTTAATGCATCTGTTCACATTTCTCAAGTGGCTGTGTCAGAAGCAGGCGTGTGGCTTTGAAATGCTGCTACACCCCGCTTACTTACCAGATCTAGCCCTGTCAAACATTTATCCGTTCCCTAAACTAAAATCACATTCCCGGGGTCACAGATTTGCTGAGGATGAGTGTTTGATCTATAGTGCTGTTTTTGGAGGAACAGTCTGCAACCTTTCACAGAAGAACAGCAATGCTTGAACACTGCTGGACTAAGTGCATACAACATGTAGATCATGTTGAATCGTAATAAAGCATGAATTGGACTGCAGGCTTGTTTCTATATCGGGCCGAGAACTCTTTGACCAACCCGTGTAGTTATTAGGTCGGACGCAGTGTATTTGCAAGCACTACCGCACAGACCGACACATGATGCCGTGCACTTCGGCATGTATTTTTTAAGAGGCAAGATAACGTTGCAGGCCTGGACGGATACACCACAGGCTTTAGCTATTATCAAACAGTCACTGGAAGTAGAGGGTCGATTCACATAGCTTTGTAGCTGTCACCTCTGGCAGTCACGTCATGAGGTCACTTCGCGTATAAGCAAGGCCCGTGTGGCATTCCGGAGGCTCAATCATCTATGAAGACGACGGGATATCAGCCTGTCAGTGAGAGGTAGTGTGACGCTGTGATGATGCCGGTGTTACAGTACGGATCACAGACCTAGCCAGGGTTTGATCATCGGCACTAACGGAATACTGCTTACATCTACTGGGAACACCGGATGGAAAATTTTGAGGTATAGCGGTTTGCTTTTGGCAAAGTGCTTTCTGGTGTTTGTGCAAGCTCAACCATCTTAGGCGTGCATCATTGACCATGGTCGAAAGGATTACACGCCTGTCTTGTAATCGGGAGGTCACCGGTTCGGATCTGTGTAGGTGAGAGCAACTTCGCGGCATACCCATCCCACGCGCGATTGTGGGTGGTCGCGTGGCAGTGAAGCAGTAGGACGTGCTGTCGTGTCGCCGACGCCTTCGGCGGGCAGTACATAGCATCACTGCACGCAATTGAGCGAAATCACAAGGAGGGTAGTCCCTGACGTGGGTTAAAGGCATGGAAAAACTGACTAAGACTAGGTCACATCATGTCAAATCATCAGGTGCCAGCTGCACGCCGTAACGGCGCTTCGCTGCCGCGCGACCACCACTAGTCGCGCGCGGGCTGAGTACACCGCGAGGACGCTCACTCCCACGCGGATTTGAGCCGGGGACCTTACGGTTTCAAACCAGGTGCACAGACCACTCGGCCACCAGCCGGCTGACTAGGTCAGACGGGTGCGTGCCCTCTTCGTGGATGGACGTCTCAAGATGGTCCACATCAGTGGCGTAATCGCCCAACCAGTAGCGTTCAGTTTCTTACACAACTGACAATTTTCATTTCATCCCGATTAATTCTGCGCACTTCGTTCTTAATTCCACTTACTTAGTGTTCAATTTGCGTTCGATCCAAGGTTCTTAAGGTCTTTCGTCATTCTCGTGACGTGAGTCGCTGAAACCGGATCCAATACACTTCGGTGTCGGGGCCATAGTTGTTTAACCAGAACAAACTGGACTGAACAACGCTTCGGGCTGACATTTTCTTAGATATTGCTGAACGCCCACAAAGGGCCAAACTTCAGATCGCTGAACCATTCATTTCAGCGGATTGCAAGCCTGGACCGACTGATCGAAGACGGCGACGTGTAACCATGCAGCTGGGTTTACAGCAACAACCATACGTGCATCTATTTCCAAGGAGTGCCGGAACAGCTGTCTTCAAAGAAATTAATCCACCGTGTTAGCTTTTCTGTTTATTTACTGCAGCTATTCTTCCGTTCTTTCAGTTCGTCGCTGATCTTATCCCGGATTGTGGCCTCTTTTTGTACTGCCCAAAAGTATAACTGTTCCGGATTATACCCAGTAAAACATTTACCTACGATTACCTGTTCGGTTTATTGGCGTGTACCAGGAACGACACCCATGAGTAGAAATGGCGACTGTCGAAAAGTAGTTCGCTTATCCAGATAGGTGTGTACCACTATCATCACATTGCGCTTCAATATAGACGGTAGTGACCGTCTGCGCTGCGCTGGCACTTCGCCACAATTCGACAGTTACTAGCGGTGAATCCACCTGAAAACTGTATGGTCAAAATGGGTAAATGGTAAAACAGCTGGTGGATGCATAAACGGCGGTTGCGTTTTAAGTTAGGAATCGCGTCAGCAAGCCAAGTATTAGCAAACCTCCAGCTTTATACAAGCAACCATAGCCTGAAGAGGCAGAGAAAATGGTATTAAAATAGGAGCGAAAGTGGGTAACTTGCCGAGCCACCTGTCGCGAGCTACTTCATCGCATACACAGATGATAAAGTGATCTTTATAGCAGAGTTGCCAGCGAAAAATCAAACGATCGGAAACGGAAACGCATAGTGAAGTGCATACTGGACATTCGGCAGATCGAACGACTTACGCGATCACGATTGCCCGGAGTTCAGGAACAGCGTAGAGCAGCTGCACAGCAGCATTTGCATAACAGGTGTTGCCCAAGTTGACTAGCCCAAACGGAAGCTTCAATTCTTGTTTTTCGGTGTGTTGCAAGTTATCGGCATTCAATTCAGCGGGCTCTATCCGCTCCATTAACGGCTCGTTAGCGGTTCCCATTAACATAATAGTTGCACCCTAAATAAAATCAGAATTCCCGAATAGCGGCATACATCTTTGAGTTTAATACCATCAAAATTGGAGTCGCCAAGAATCTTTCCAGGCATCATCACCTTCTGACGTTCAGGAGGAACCCCCGTTAACGAAAAAAGGACAGCTTTAAACTTCTCTGGGTGCTCATCAGTGTCGCATTCAACATCCTTAAACCGTTCTTTCTGCCACTTAACATTTACTAGAAAAGTCTCAAATAGATCTCTTCTTACATTTGTACACTGGCATTGCAGAGTATAAATCGCAAAAATAAATTGCAAGCACAGCAGATGAATCTATATTGCAGATGCAAGGAACGAGGAAAAACTAAGTGGCGTGCAGTGGAGAATCAAACACAACTAGATCGACCACGCAGACATCAAGTGTGCAGCCAACTCGCAATCGGTCGGTGACTGCGAACAGCAGGTCAGGTCAGGTCAGGTCAGATGGACGATAGAGGCTTCCGCCTAAGGAGCGTCCAGTTCTTGTGCCGGTAAGTGAAGCGGCCCCCGGCACTTCGACGTTGGATTGTCTCTTCTTGCTTCTGCAATGGAATGAAGCAAGAACAAAAGCAATCTCTGCACTTTCATATGCCAGCATCAAAATACACTACATATTAAAGTACAACTACAATATCTGGAAAAAGGATGGACCAACAATTGTCTAAGCCCCTTTTGAAGGCTTCTACGGTCTCAGACTCCACTAAACCAGAAGGAAGTTTATTCCAATAGTTAACTACCCGGTTCGTAAAAAACTTTGCCCTGATGTCCAAACGAGCTCTGTGATGCTTAAGCCTCAGGCGATGCCCGCGCAGATGGTCTGACGTAGCCAGCTCAAACAGAT